CCCTAACCTTGAACCTCTAACCCTAACCTTTAACCTCTAACCCTAAGCTCTAACCCTAATTTTGAACCTCTAACCCTAACCTCTAACCCTAACCTTTAACCTCTAACCCTAACCTCTAACCCTAACCTTTAACCTCTAACCCGACGAACCTCTAACCCTAACCTTTGACCTCTAACCCTAGCCTCTACCCCTAACCTCTAACCTCTAACCCTAACCTCTAACCCTAACCTTTAACCTCTAACCCTAATCTCTAACCCTAACCTTGAACCTCTAACCCTAACCTCTAACCCTAACCTTCAACCTCTAACCTTTAACCTCTAACACTAACCTGAAACTCTAACCCTAACCTTGAACCCTAACCTTTAACCTCTAACCCTAACCTCTAACCCTAACCTTTAACCTCTAACCCGAACCTCTAACCCTAACCTTTAACCTCTAACCCTAACCTCTAACCCTAACCTCTAACCCTCACCTTTAACCCTAACCTTAACCTCTAACCCTGACCTTTAACCTCTAACCCTAACCTCTAACCCTAACCTTTTACCTAACCCTAACCTCTAACCCTAGCCTTTAACCTCTTACCCATCTTTAACCTCTAACCCTAACCTTTAACCTCTAACCCTAACCTCTAACCCTAACCTTTAACCTCTAACCCTAACCTCTAACCCTAACCTTTAACCTCTAACCTTTAACCTCTAACCCTAACCTTTAACCTCTAACCCTAACCTCTAACCCAAACTTTTAACTTCTAACCCTAACCTCTAACCCTAACCTTTAGCCTCTACCCCTAGCCTCTAACCTCTAACCTAACGTCTAACCCTAGCCTCTAACCCTAACCTTTAACCTCCAACCTTTAACCTCTAACCCTAACCTCTAACAACCTCTAACCCTAACCTTGAACCTCTAACCCTAACCTCTAACCCTAACCTTTAACCTCTAACCCTAACCTCTAACCCTAACCTTTAACCTCTAACCCTAACCTCTAACCCTAACCTGTAACCTCTAACCCTAACCTCTAACCCTAACCTTTAACCTGTAACCCTAACCTCTAACCCTAACCTTTAAACTCTAACCCTAACCTTTAACCTCTAACCCTAACCTCTAACCCGAACCTCTAACCCTAACCTTTAAACCTCTAGCCCTAACCTCTAACCCTAACCTTGAACCTCTAACCCTAACCTCTAACCCTAACCCTCAACCTCTAACCCTAACCTCTAACCCTAACCTTTAACCCTAACCTTTAACCTCTAACCCTAACCCCTAACCCTAACCTTTAACCTCTAACCCGAACCTCTAACCCTAACCTTTAACCTCTAACCCTAACCTCTAACCCCAACCTTCAACCTCTAACCCTAACCTCTAACCCTAACCTGTAACCTCTAACCCTAACATCTAACCCTAACCTTTAACCTCTAACCTTAACCTCTAACCCTAACCTTTAACCTCTAACCCTAACCTCTAACCTTAACCTTTAACCTAACCCTAACCTCTAACCCGAACCTTTAACCTCTAACCTTTAACCTCTAACCCTAACCTTTAACCTCTAACCCTAACCTCTAACCCTAACCTTTAACCTCTAACCCTAACCTCTAACCCTAACCTTTAACCTCTAACCTTTAACCTCTAACCCTAACCTTTAACCTCTAACCTTTAACCTCTAACCCTAACCTTTAACCTCAAACCCTAACCTCTAACCCTAACCTTTAACCTCTAACCCTAACCCCTGGCCCTAAGCTTTCACCCCTAACCCTAACCTCCCCTAACCTTTAACCTCTATCCCTAACCTCTAACCCCAACCTCTAACCTCTAATTTATCCTCTAACCCTAACCTTTAACCTCTAACCCTAACCTGTAACCGTAACCTTTAACCTCTACCCCTAGCCTCTAACCTCTAACCTAACGCCTAACCCTAACCTCTAACCCTAACCTTTAACCTCGAACCTTTAACCTCCAACCCTAACCTCTAACAACCTCTAACCCTAACCTCTAACCCTAAGCTTTAACCTCTAACCGTAACCTTTAACCTCTAACCCTAACCTCTAACCCTAACCTTTAACCTCTAACCCTAACCTCTAACCTTAATCTCTATCTAACCCTAACCTTCAACTCTGACCCTAACCTCTCACCCTAACCTTTATCCTCTAACCCTAACCTCTAACCCTAACCTTTAACCTCTAACCCTAACCTCTAACCCTAACCTTTAACCTCTAACCCTAACCTCTAACCCGAACCTTTAACCTCTAACCCCAACCTTTAACTTCTAACCCGAACCTCTAACCCTAACCTTTAACCTCTAACCTCTAACCTCTAACCTCTAACCCTAACCTTTCACCCTAACCTTTCACCTCTAACCCTAACCTCTAACCCTAACCTTTAACCTCTAACCCACCTTTAACCTCTAACCCTAACCTTTAACCTCTAACCCTAACCTCTAACCCTAACCTTTAACCTCTAACCTCTAACCCTAACCTTTAACCTCTAGCCCTAACCTCTAACCCTAACCTTTAACCTCTAACCCGAACCTCTAACCCTAACCTTTAACCTCTAACCCTAACCTCTAACCCTAACCTTTAACCTCTAACCGTAACCTCTAACCCTAACCTTTAACCTCTAACCCTAACCTTTAACCCCTAACCCTAACCTCTAACCCTAACCTTTGACCTCTAACCCTAACCTCTAACCCTAACTTCTATCCCTAACCTTTAACCTCTAACCCTAACCTCTAATCTAACCTTTAACCTCTAACCCTAACCTCTAACCTCTAGCCAACGTCCCAGCAACCTCACCCGCCGTGGGTGCGAGGGCTGCTGCTCCCTCGGCCAGGCTTCCCTGGTTCCCGTCGGCAGCAGCAGCAACCTCTAACCTCTAACCCTAACCTCTAACCCTAACCTTTAACCTCTAACCCTAACCTCTAACCCTAACCTTTAACCTCTAACCTTAACCTCTAACCCTAACCATTAACCTCTAACCTAAACCTCTAACCCTAACCTCTAACCCGAACCTTTAACCTCTAACCTTTAACCTCTAACCCTAACCATTAACCTTGCCCTAACCTTTAACCTCTAACCTTAACCTTTAACCATAACCTCTAACCCTAACCTTCAACCTCTAACCCTAACCTCCAACCCCTCTAACCCTAACCTCTAACCCTAACCTTTAACCTCCAACCCTAACCTCCAACCCTAACCTTTAACCTCTAACCCTAACTTCTAACCCTAACCTTTAACCTCTAACCTTAACCTCTAACCCTAACCTTTAACCTCTAACCCCAACCTCGAACCCTAACCTTGAACCTCTAATCCTAACCTTTAACCTCCAACCCTAACCTCTAACCCAAACGTGACCTCTAACCCTAACCTCTAACCTTAACCTCTAACCCTAACCTTCAATCTCTAACCCTAACCTCTAACTTTAACCTTTAACCTCTAACCCTAACCTCTAACCCTAACCTTCAACCTCCAACTCTAACCTCTAACCCTAACCTTTAACCTCTAACCCTAACCTCTAACCCTAACCCCTAACCCTTAACCTCTAACCCTGACCTCTAACCCTAACCTTTAACCTCTAACCCGAACCTCTAACCCTAACCTTTAACTTCTCCTAACCTCTAACCCTAACCTCTAAACCTAACCTGTAACCTCTAACCCTAACCTTTAGCTTCGAACCCGAACCTCTAACCCTAACCTTTAACCTCTAACCCTAACCTCTTACCGTTACCTTTACCCCTAACCCTAACCTCTAACCCTAACCTCTAACCCGACCTCTAACCCAAACATTTAACCTCTAACCCTAACTTTTAAACCTCTAGCCCTAACCTCTAACCCTAACCTCTAACCCTAACCTTTAACCTCTAACCCTAACCTCTAACCCTAACCTTCACCCCCCTTTCACCCCCACCCCAACCTCTCACCCTAACCTTCAACCTCTAACCCTTACCTCTAACCCCAAACCCTAACCTCTAAGCCTTTCCTTTAACCTCTTTCCCGAACCTTAAACCTCTAACCCTAACCTCTAACCCTATCTAACCCTAACCTCTAACCCCGAACCCTAACCTCTAACCCTAACCTTTAACCTCTAACCCTAACCTCTATCCCTAACCTCTAACCCTAACCTCTATCCCTAACCTTCAACCTCTAACCCTAACCTCTAACCCTAACCTCTAACCCTAACCTCTAACCCTAACCTCTGACCCTAACCTTTAACCTCTAACCCTAACCTGTAATTTCTAACCTCTAACCCTAACCTTTAACCTCCAACTCTAACCCAAATATTTAATTTCCAACCCTAACCTTTAAACCTCTAACCCTAACCTCTAACCCTAACCTTTAACCCGAACCTTTAACCTCTATCCCTAACCTCTAACCCTAACCTCTAACCCCAACCTCTAACCCTAACCTAACCCTAACCTCTAACCCTAACCTCTAACCCTGACCTTTAACCTCTAACCCTAACCTCTAACCCGAACCTTTGACCTCTAACCCTAACCTCTAACCCTAACCTTTAACCCCTAACCCCTAACCCTAACCTTTAACCTTTGACCCTAAAATCTAACCCTAACCTTTAACCTCTAACCCTACCCTGTAACCCTAACCTTTAACCTCTAACCCTAACCTCTAACCCCAATCTCTAACCCTAACCCTCCTTTAACCTCTAACCCTAACTCTAACCCTGACCTCGTAACCCTAACCTTTAACCTCTAACCCTAACCTCTAACCCTAACCTCTAACCCTAACCTTTAACCTCTAACCCGAACCTCTAACCCTAACCTTTAACCTCTAACCCTAACCTCTAACCCTAACCTCTAATTCTAACCTTTAACCTCTAACCCTAACCTCTAACCCTAACCTCTAACCCTAACCTGTAACCTCTAACCCTAACCTCTAACCCCAACCTCTAACCCTAACCTTTAACCTCTAACCTCATAGAACGGCCGGTGTCAAAGGGGAGAGGCCGTTGCGACGGCGCTACGGCCGTCGGGACGGCCGTCGGGGCGCCGGCAGGCCGCCTTCTCCACGGCCCTGGCCGCCGCGGCCGTGGACTTCGCCGAGGCGGAGGATGAGGCGGGAAATGCGATCCAACCTGGGAAGTTCTGGGGACACACAAGTTGTGGGGACACACATTTTTTCATTTTTGCTTATGGTGGTTGGAAACATTTGACACCTTTTTGATCTGACATGGTGGTTTAGTGGTGGAAATATCCAACCACTTCACTGCTGAAATTTATTTATTTTTTGCTCCCCAAGCCCAGCGTCAACCAAGCCCAAGTGGGTATGGGTCAAGACTCAGCCACCAGGAATCGGACCGCAGGTTCTGGTCCATGTTTCAGTTTACCAGGGCAAGCCATTTTGGGTACCTATTTTTGACCCACAGCTAAGTGAAGTCTTGGCTCAGGGCTAGGTGGCTGTGGTCCGGGATTCTTACCTGTAAACCACACCCAGCCAGGAAAAGAGCCAGAAAAGCAAAAAGTAAACCACTCGTTGTTGAAAGGAATGATGGTTGAACGAAGTGGGAAATCAAGCTTCCGAACCCCGCAAGAGTAACCGGTTTTGCTGATAGGGGCATTTGAACAGCTTTCTCGATCCCATATTCGGGGGCCACAACATACTGGTTGTCATGAGCCCTTTCACATGTATAAAACATACGCGCCCTTTCACCCTTTTAGACAGACGGGGGGGGGAAGGGTGTTGTTTTTTCAACCCGCCCCCCCCAAAATGGGCGGCTTCCTTCTGGTTGCCCTACCAAACCCACCCCAAAACAGAGCGCCCCCCCCCAATTCCCCGCCGCGCGCGGCCGCGCGGCCAGACGTCGTCTCTTGCAGCGAGGTGAGCGGCACCTCGCTGAGCGGGGGCCAGCAGGCGCGGCTCGCCTTGGCGCGGGCCATGTACAAGGCGCAGCGCCGAGGCCGCGCGCGGGGCGGGCCGCCGGTTGGAGCGGTTGGAGCGGTGGGTGGGAGCGAGCTGACGGTTGGAGCCGGGGGCCGGTTGAAGCGGCTGGAAGGGAATTACCAGGGAGGAAGTGGCGAAGTAGGGATTTGGGGAAGCACGTGGCTGGACATGAATCCCCACTTAATATGGCGAATTAGGGATTGCGATCGGGAAAGACCTAGGTGGCTGGACATGAATCCACACTTGAGATTATTCACCAAAGGGTTTCGTAGAATTCTACTGGGTGCCATCGATAGCCCGCAATTGTGAATCCTTACAAATGTGTTCGAGATATTGTATGGCGAGCTCAGCTGCGGGTAAACGAGCTGTGAAGTTTCTTCAAAGGGGATCACTTGTATCAGCTTTTGGAGCTGTTGTGAAATTAGCAGACATGCACAGATGCGAAGATCCATTGTTCAACAATATACAACCGGATTACAAACAAATGACCAGTTATATGAAGTTCAAAGTGTAAGAATTTGAAGGTTCCTTTGCCATTGATAGGTTTTAGGTTGACTGAATAATATTGTTGGCAGAAGCTGCTTTTTGTGTGTACCCCAGATGTGGGCTAAGTTTACGTGAAGCAGAAACAGGGGTCGCTACGTTAAAGCTGCCAGTCGTGCCCATGCTCAAACGACCCCTTTGTTACCGCGTCGCGCCTACAAAAGCGAAATGGGGGCCACGCCAAACTGCACCCTCCTCCCTAAAGCTTTGTGGTAGCGCAAGGACCTAGGCAGCATAAGTACCAGCAAGCCAAGGCCCATGTCCTAGTGAGGTCAAGCCCACAACGCCGACCTCCATAACCACCCCACAAGTAATTCCTCATCACATCATCAAGGGATAGTCGATCATGGTGCCCGAAATCGGTTGAAGCAGCACTACCAGCTGGAAGAACCAGTAGTATCGTATGTTGGTCGAAGCATTCCAATCCCCCAAACACGTTTTCACGGAAAATGGGGCGAATTCATTGCTCACAGAATATTTGTGGGGGACACCCAGAAAAGGTACATGGTCAAACTTACTGGGAAAGTTACTCCCAAAACAAGGGTGACAATCCTTGATGGGTTATCAAAGTCTGCAGCCGGGGATGTTTTCCTTTAACCTGTCCCTTAGGGGGTGATTTTGACACTTATGGAGAAATGGCAACCTAGGTAGCGCAGTTGCAAATAGGCTAGCTAGGTTGCAGACTTTGATTGTGGTAAAATCTGGGGGGGGGGGGGAAAAGAGGGGCCTCGCAAAATGGCGATCCTCTTTTAGTTTGTTTTTTAAGCCTACCAAAAGGAACTACGCCATCGAGAAGTAGCCGTAAACGCAAAATGCGTCAAAACCTGGGCAGCTCGAGGACCCCCCAAATGGTTTCCGTTTAGTTTCCTTAAACACTCAGTCACTTTCGGCATCCTTTTCGTCCCTCTTTGGTTGGTACAAATGGTGAAACCTAAGAATTGGTTTCCCATTGGATGGCTCTACAAATTTCTCAATTGCCCTTTGGATGGTTTCTCAAGCCTAAGAACTGGTGTCCCTTTCCAACCGCCCAAACACGGCGTCCCCCCAAAACGAAGACGCAGCCTGAAACCTGGCGCCCGCCCGGCGCTGCCTGGCGCTCGCGAAGCGCGCGAGGCGAGGTGTGCGCCTGCGTGCTGGACGACGTCACCGCGGCGCTGGACCCACGAGTCACGCTGGAGGTGATGAACAACTGCCTCAATGGGCCGTTGAAGGCCGGCACAGGGAGCCAAAGGTGGAGCCAAGCCAAAGGTGGAGCCAAGCCAAAGGTGGTGCGGATCAGCAATTGGTTTGGAGTTGGATTTTAACTACAAGGTTGTTCTATGCATTTGATAAGAAGCAGGGGGGTTGTATGCGTTGTTTTATTGGTATTGGCAGAAACACGCAGGTTCTGGTGGGTGAAAGGGGCACCAACCCTAATCTCCAAACCACCGAGAGGGAAGCCAAATGGCAGAGTTGTCGCTCCACTTCCGGTTTTTGGACTTAATGTTGCCTTTTCAGAGGAGCCAAGTAGTAGTAAGAAGCCCCCAAATGAGAGGGTTCTTTGGTGCATTTTGCTTGGATGTTAGGACTTTGACTTTTTGCCAGCTAATGGGTTTTCCGTTAAACCACTAAAAGTTAGTCACTTAGGAGGGCTTTGCAGATTTCGCAACCGAGGGTTGGGACGTATCAAGGCATGAACTGGGGGTTTCTATGTGCCTGGGCTGAGAAGTTTTTGCTTCAGACCGGGTAGGTTGGCAGTCGGGGTGTTCATTTCAGCAGGGCTCCTTAGAAGATACATTTTTTTTGCCACCATTTGAAGCATGTTGTTTTTTCTTACCAAAACAAAGGGAAACCACCATTTACAAGTTGCAATAATCAGGTGTGTAATGTAAGGATCACTGTTAAATCCCATTCAATCATTAGGTCAAGCATGAAAAATGCATTTTCAGGGGAAACATTTCAGGTGTTGGACATATTGTAGGATTTGCAGATTTTGGCATATGAACGGTCAATATTCATCGGCGTGTCCTGTGATGGGAACGACATTGGGTACCCGAAACCAAATTGCCACCAGGTTACTCACCAAAATCCATTGACATTAGGGCACGCAGTAAATGTGGAGCGTGGCTCATATGGTGAGTCACAGCCAGTAGGTACAGTCAGCGCATAGATCTGGTTGGAACTGGGTAAACCACAATCGGGGTCCTATGTGGCTGACTGCTCACAGGTGTCAAATGGGATTGCTGGTTGCTACAAAGATTGGGCCCCATTGGTTTCAGCTTGGCTCTAGTGCAGGACTCTGAAAAAAGTATTTCCCCCTCTTATTTTGAAGATCTGTTTGGCCAATTTGAATGGCATGTCCTCCAGCTGATCCTCGCCTCGACTTTGCCAGCAGCCTCGAGCTTTGGAGACCAAGGAGTTGAAGGGAGAGCTCCACTCGCTTGAAGGGCTCTGAGACTGAAAATCCTTTGACCCCAGGCCATTTCGGATGGCCACGCCTGTGAAACCCTCATGTCCCGCAACAAAATCCACGGTTTTGTGGTTGAGTGTGGCTGGCTTACCGTCTTTCGCCGAGTTGTGGAAGTGGAAAGGAGGGTATTGGAAGCCAATCCTCTTAAGAGGACTCCTCCACTTCCACGATTGTCAGGAAAGAGGTACCTGGACCCCCCAACAAAATACCCCTACAACTTGGATATGGCCACAAACCTATGGGGTGACTTCTTTCTTTTGATGGGTAGTTTCGGTCCAGGTACTTGCAACTCTTATGGCATCCAGGGATTTAACCCCCTAAAAGCCCCATACAAAGCATACAAAGAATAAAACAACACCTCTACAGGAGGGGTTACGGAGGTTTTGGTCCATGTTTCCGCTTACCAAGGTTCCATTTTGGTACCGTTTTTTTTGAGCAGCCATATACCCCAAGATTGGTGGTGTGTTTTTTTTTTTTTGTGGCGCGGTACCTTCTCCATGGTTTCGCGCGGAGTTGTTTTTTTCCACCCGGATTCCGCAGGGCCTGGCCACGGTCTTCGTGTCCAGCGACCCTGGGCCCTGGCTCCAGCGCTGCGACCGCATCATCGCCATGCGCGCGGAGGGAAAGGCGAGTTGGATAGTCTCAGTCGTTCAGTGGCACCGATTATTTTCCCCTTTTTTTGGGTGGCTGCCTCATTAAGAATTCGGTGTTCCACAAAAAGGGGTCCAATTCTTTTTTTCCAGGGTCACTGAACAACTCAGGAGTTGGAAGGAGTTGGCCAGTGACTTGCAACAGTTCTGACCCCAGTTCGATGGATTTTGATGGATTTTGGGGGCTTACTTCCAAGAATTCCGAGTTCCGCGGAGTTTGAGGGATTTGGAGTTTTGAAGAACTTGTGCTCCCGGAATTTCGAGCCCGTTGAAGGCACGGCATTCTGGCCCCAGAAATGTGAACCCAACACATATTGATCCCAAAGATTTTGAAGGCAGAAGTTGTGGGTGAGGGCTCAGGGTTACTTGCAACCATTCTGAACCCAGGGCGCCGAATCTTTCCGAAGAGAACGATGCTTGAAAGAATGGGACATCAACTTCACGGGTGGGTGGGACGGGGACGGGGACGGGGGGAGGGGTTTGGGTGGTGGAGTTGGGCCTTGGGTGCCCGGTGTTGGGGTCCGAGGGATTCTGGTCGGGGACGCTTCGGGGGTTTGGGCGAGCTCCAAACTTTGCAGATTCGAATCAAAATGCGCTTGGGCCAATCACCTGGCTGCATGTTGGTGCTTGGTTTCCGGTTGGTTGCCGTTTACCAGCCCAAAAGGGAGCCACCGTCTTTTGGAAGCACCCATTTAGGTTTGCTTCCTGGGTCTTTTGTTGGATTAAGCCAACTTAGTCCAATGGACACTTGCAACCAAAGCTAGTCTGAGGCGTGTTCTGTTTCTGCATCCCCAGCACTTTAGAAGGTCCAAGGATTCTTTCTCCAAAGGGGAAATAGTGGCAACGAGCCTCAGGGAAGCTTCGTTCTCTGCCGAAGCCCATACCGCCGAATCGATCGCCCAAGAGTCCATTTGCTTGGGCTTCCGAGGCCCAGGGATCTCGCGATCGGAAAGGTCTTCAGGGGAGCGCAAGCGGCTCTTGAGTTGCCAGCAAGCGGCTCTTGATTTGTAGCAACTTGCCGGCTCTCTATGTGGAACTGTCCTTTTGGGTGTGTGTCTTTATATATATATATACACGTAATTGTACGTGCACCTGGTGATACTAGGTATTTAATCATCTGTGTTGTAGAAAGTCGTGCCCCAATATCTCACTTCCTGAGTTCATGAACTTTAAACTTTTTGGGAGGGCCATTTTAGTGGTACAGAAAAGTTTGACTTTTTTTGGGCCATCCACTCAGCCAGTGAGATATTGCGCTTGGTGCGCTTGAGCTTCTTCAGGAGTTGCGGGTGGACTCGGTGGGAAGCTATGAGGAGCTGGCGGCGGGTGGACGGCTGGCGCTTTGGCCGTGCACGGGACAGCTTGGGGTTGAGCCCATTCTTGGGGTCCCCCCAAACCAGGTCTTACAGGAGTTGAGCCCATTTTTTCGGGTGGGGGGCAGAAGCCCAAGGTTCAAAAAGCCCCTCAGGTCCGGATTTTTGATTGGCGAAATGGTGAATGTAAATCTTAGGGATGCCCAAGATCCGCGGTTGTCCTGAGATCCCTAGAGGTCCCCCCCCTCTGGCGTTCTTTTTGCCCAACGAATGGGATGCATCGCGCCCTTCTCTTTTTCGTTTTTGGTTTTTATGTGCCTTATTTGTTGGGGGGGCTTGCAGAGAGCACACCGTGTTGGTTGCTAACATACCGAGACATCCGAGACGTTGAACGTTTGATTTTGTGTACCTCGGTGTTCATGTCCCCTAGATCCCAAATAAGTTGGTTGGGGGACGGGAATTCGGAAATTCGGCTCATCTGGGACCCCACTCATGGCCTGGCTTGGCTTCTCTGGTTGTTGGACTTCAGTCACTTTTGGGGAAGATGGCACAGTTCCAACCCATTTTGGTTTCCAGGTTTGGGGATTGAACCCATGACTCACAGCTCCGTTGACACAAAGAGCCCATATGGTGATCAATCTGAGTCAATCCCTGAGCTAGCTTTGTAATTAACATGTTGTGTTGCCTTCGACACTTTGAGATCCAACATCTTTAGTTGTTGTTTTGTTTTTGTTGTTTCCGGCCAGCTGGTTTTGTGTTAGTTCATTCGTTCGACCCTTTAACCACCGCGTGATGTTGATGCTTTTTGGTTTCTCAAGCCAAGGTTGTTGATTTTGACACGACCACTTTTATGGTGCAGGTGTCTTTTTGTTGAGGGAACACTTTTTGGGTACGCGAGAACTGAATCGAAACCGCTTCTTTTTCTCATCCTCCTGTTTTGAGGCGGTTTTACAGGAACACCCAAAGGAACACCAATATTCTGTGGGTCCCCCAAAGCAAGACACCCCTACCATAGGTGTCCTTGTTGGTAAAAATAGATGGCGATTCCTGGTTTACCTGGTGGACATCACTCCCGGCCCCACGTTTCTGACGCCCGGCTTAGGTGCCCGGGCCCGTGCCCAAGCCCAAGGAGCAGCCAGAGGAGACCGAGGCACCCGGCGTTTTTCGGGTTGTTGATACTTGAAGCCTGGGATTGAAGGTACCAGTCTCCACGACCCTTGAAAAATAGGTGATCTGGTCCCATTAGGAGAATGACCAACCATTTTTAAACGGGCATGGCGACTCTAGGTACATAAAACGGGGGGGGGGGGGGGGGTTTAAGGAGTCATACATTTCACGATGTGAAGAACAAGTAACAAGGGCTTCTTCTTGCTGCACTTACCGGCCCCTATCCTCACGCCTCAAAAGCAATGACCAAACTATAGATTGGAAAATCATGGGGGGGGGGGCAGAGGCCTCATTCAGGGCTTATTTGGGCTCCCCTCCCCCCAGCCCCCATTGCCAAAGGGTTTCCGCGTATCTTCCCTTTTCCAAGGACCACGTCGCTACCCTTTACCATTGGACAGGACCTTGCCCTCCAACCACATAGCGCGGATCTCGGATCCCGGAAAAGGCGACGTATCCCCAGCAGCCGACGTTTGTTTCGGCGCAGGCGGCGGCCACTCAGGAGGTGCCCAAGCGGAAGAAGCTGCAGGTCACCAGTGAGGCACTCGACGATGTTGGGAGCCGAAGCCGAAAGGAAACAAAAAGGAAAACACGGGGAGGGAGCCCTTGGAAACAAACTACTCCCCGAAAAACCTGGACTTTGTATCTTTTTTTTTCTTCTTCTTTTTCGCAAAAGACCGCCATTTTGGTGAACAAAAAGTTCAGGCTTCTTTTGGCCAATGCACTTAGGAAGTGAGAAACGGGGACGCGCTTCACCCATGGACCCTCGGTGTTCCGGTTGGCTTCTCCTACCGAGCTAGGTGGCGTGCCTCAAGGGACCAGTGAAACCGAACCCAGCTGAAACGCTTCATTTGGCAGATGCACGAGCTCAAAAAGATTCCCTGCCAGGGGTTGGACTCACCGGTGGTTTTGACAAAAAGTCCAGGAAGATGAAACAAGTAAACGGGCGGCTGTGGAAAAAAAAGGCCGTGGAAAAGCGGGCAGACATCGACCGATTTCTGTGATACGAAGGAATCTCACTTTGAGCATCCAGTTTAAGAGAACCCCAGCACACGTGATGATGGCCTTCCGTTCTCTTTAGGTGCCAACACGTCTAGTCCGAGCTTCTTCAGTATGACCAAGCTACAGGTTTGCTTTTACTTTGTTTCCGTTTGCTCCGGGCCAAACAAGGAGATGCTTTCTGGGTTCCAAATCAGCCCTGAATCATGTGACATGCACCACCTGGAAACCATGAGAAACCATTGGTTGGTATTCACCGGGGAATCAACATCCCAAATTTTCTTGGTGCGAAATGGATTTCGATTTCAACCATCCACAGTGGTCCCTTGATCTCTGGTTGAGCCCACGGTCTCTTCTTACTCCGGCGCGCGCCAGGAGGAGCGGGCCCTGGGCGCCGTGCCGCTGAAGCTGTACAGCCACTACTTCGCCTCCGCGAGGCGCCCCGAAAACACGAGAGACACGCGCGGGGCTGCTGCCAGGGCTCCTTAAAAGATACATGTTTTTTTGCGACCAGTTGAGACATGTGGCTTTTTCAACACCGAAATGAAGTTGGAAGCCACCAAAATAAAGTTGGAAGCCTCGAAAAAGACGCAAAAACACGCGGCACGGCGTTTGTTTTGGCCTGGTTTTCCATATGGGTGTGTAAAAAGGAGACGGGGGAGAGATATATGGGTATGGATCATCTTCAAACCACCAGGAATTGGACAGCAGGTGTTAGTCTGCGTGTCCATCTACCAGGGTTCTATTTTGCGGTTACCCTATTTTGACGACCACACCCATACGGAAAACACAGGGATCCTGACATTAGACACCTGAACATTGCCTTGTAAATGATTTTCCCCCTTCATTTCGGTGTTGAAAAAGCAACATGTTTCAAATGGTGGCAAATGTTGTATCTTTTAAGGAGCCCTGATTTAGCCAGGTTCATTTTGGGTTAACCTATTTTGACACCGATGTAGGCAACTTCGCTTGACAGGTCTCGGATCTCGTGGAAGGGGGCCTGTAGAGAATATCCTGCGAGGTAGGGACTGATTAGTCTGAAGTGAGCGGAGCGGAAAACCACTGCAGCTTGGAAGGATTTGCAAAGACACCAAGAACGCCCTTACACGGTTTTTTGATGTCCACCAAAGGGCCTCTCCAACTAGAATCCGTACCTGACTTCGGCCACTCTCGGCCCCATGGCTATGAATTTGAATAAGGAACCACCTCACGGTTGTTGGCAAGTTGAGTTCTGTTCGTTTTTGGTGTGCTGCCAACAAAAACCTACGGGCTTTTTTTGTTGCAAGCCCATACAAGGCTCCCTAAAAGATACATTTTGCCACCATTTGAAACATGTTGCTTTTTCAACACCGAAATGAAGGGCGAAAATCATTTACAAGGCAATGTTCAGGTGTCTAATGTCAGGATCCCTGTGTTTTCCGTATGGGTGTGGTCGTCAAAATAGGGTAACCGCAAAATAGAACCCTGGTAGATGGACACGCAGACTAACACCTGCTGTCCAATTCCTGGTGGTTTGAAGATGATCCATACCCATATATCTCTCCCCCGCAATGTTGACCCCACATTCAGAGACTCCTACCAGTGCTGTTTCCCTCCAACAGCAATTCAAGCATCACCTGCAAGTGAAAGCGAGTCTCCTTTTTAGATGTAGGCAACTTCGCTTGACAGGTCTCGGATCTCGTGGAAGGGGGCCTGTAGAGAATATCCTGCGAGGTAGGGACTGATTAGTCTGAAGTGAGCGGAGCGGAAAACCACTGCAGCTTGGAAGGATTTGCAAAGACACCAAGAACGCCCTTACACGGTTTTTTGATGTCCACCAAAGGGCCTCTCCAACTAGAATCCGTACCTGACTTCGGCCACTCTCGGCCCCATGGCTATGAATTTGAATAAGGAACCACCTCACGGTTGTTGGCAAGTTGAGTTCTGTTCGTTTTTGGTGTGCTGCCAACAAAAACCTACGGGCTTTTTTTGTTGCAAGCCCATACAAGGCTCCCTAAAAGATACATTTTGCCACCATTTGAAACATGTTGCTTTTTAAACACCGAAATGAAGGGCGAAAATCATTTACAAGGCAATGTTCAGGTGTCTAATGTCAGGATCCCTGTGTTTTCCGTATGGGTGTGGTCGTCAAAATAGGGTAACCGCAAAATAGAACCCTGGTAGATGGACACGCAGACTAACACCTGCTGTCCAATTCCTGGTGGTTTGAAGATGATCCATACCCATATATCTCTCCCCCGCAATGTTGACCCCACATTCAGAGACTCCTACCAGTGCTGTTTCCCTCCAACAGCAATTCAAGCATCACCTGCAAGTGAAAGCGAGTCTCCTTTTTAGATGTAGGCAACTTCGCTTGACAGGTCTCGGATCTCGTGGAAGGGGGCCTGTAGAGAATATCCTGCGAGGTAGGGACTGATTAGTCTGAAGTGAGCGGAGCGGAAAACCACTGCAGCTTGGAAGGATTTGCAAAGACACCAAGAACGCCCTTACACGGTTTTTTGATGTCCACCAAAGGGCCTCTCCAACTAGAATCCGTACCTGACTTCGGCCACTCTCGGCCCCATGGCTATGAATTTGAATAAGGAACCACCTCACGGTTGTTGGCAAGTTGAGTTCTGTTCGTTTTTGGTGTGCTGCCAACAAAAACCTACGGGCTTTTTTTGTTGCAAGCCCATACAAGGCTCCCTAAAAGATACATTTTGCCACCATTTGAAACATGTTGCTTTTTAAACACCGAAATGAAGGGGAAAAATCCATTTACAAGGCAATGTGGTGTTTTTCATGTAATCCCTGCCATAGCCTTCGGGTTGGGTGGACTTGCAGGAGCCCCAGGTTGCTGAGCCTGGCGGGTGTGGCGGTCATGGCCTCCTACGCGGCCACCGTGGCGCAGCAGTGGTTCATCGGCCTCTGGACGGCGGACGCCTCCATGAGCCGGGGCTTGGTGTACTACATGTCCGGCGTGCTCTTCTGGGGCTTCTGGGCCGAGAGTCGCGGGAAGTTCGAAGGAATGTGGGTCTTTCTCTCTCTGAGCTCGTGCGCGCGGGCGTTTTAGGGAGCCTTGGGGGTGGCCAAATGAAAGAGCGAGAAGAAGCGAAAAAGCACGGGAGATGGGAGTTCCTGAAAATTGGAGGCCTTGAGAAGTGGTGCACTGCTTTTTGACCCATGTGATATGTGTGAAGTGGGACATGTTGCTTGTGGCTCAAATTGGACGTTGCGTGGCTTGGTTCTGTTTTTTTGTTGGTGATGGTGGGGGGGGGGGGTTGACTTGTGCTCTTCTCAGGCGCTTGGCCTGAGCTATGGGAGCTAAGGGAAGGGTGGTTTTGCGGATTGGCCCAAAGTTGGACCAATTGGAGGTTGCGAAGGTTTGGTTGTTTTGTGTGCTCTTTTGGGGGCGCCTTGGCTTGGGAAGAGCTGTGGACGGGGGGTAAGAATGGAGCGAAGCTTGTGGGTGTTTTGGTGGTTTTGTTTGGGGTGGCGGGGCGGGGGGGGGTGTCTGATATGCTGCTCTTGTGGTGCGCGTTGGTTCTGTGTTTCGTTGTGGGGGGGGGGGGGGGGGTTAGGGGTCACTTTCTGTGCTACCAAAAAAGTCACGGCAACCGACCATTATAATAACCTAGGGCAACGACTTACTAGGTTGGCTAGCTCCACTAAGGGACTTAGCAGCTTGCAACCTAGGCGAAGATTCCCGAGGCAACAACCAAGTAGCGGAGGTACCCACTATTGATGGCTTTCCTCGGTGTTTTCCCTTTCACACACCCCTGAAAAAAATACGACGCCGATCTCGCAAGAGCACCTACTCGTACAAGTCACCCGTGAACTGAACACTCAACAAAAATCCACCTCAAAACAAGCTGAAAGACACCCGTATTTTTTGCAAGGGCGCTTTTATTGTTTTTCATTTTTGGGGGTCCACTTTGAAAAAAACCACGGGGGTTTCCTGCTTCGTCTCCCTGTCAAAAAAAAGGACGAAGAAACCAAGAACCGCCTGAAAGGCACGGAGCCGAGGCCTCCTGGCCTCTGCCTTGACCTTCGGCCGGGCGCTGCTGATCGCCGCCTTCTCGCGCCGGGCCTCAAGGGCGGTGCACGACCAGCTCTGCGACCAGGCGGAGCCGGAGCGGAGGGACTTGCGGCGTGGGAAGCGCGTCGTTTTGTTTCTCCCCTTTTTTCTTCTTCTTTTATTTTCTCTCTCTTTTCTCTTTTCTTTTTCTGGTTGTTGTCTTTTGTCGTCTTTTTTTAAATACATAAGTGTATATATTGTTGTTTTTGTATTTGTATTTTTTAGTTTTAAATTTTGTGTGGCCGTTGTGAATCAGGTGAGTTTTGGGGGACGCATCATGCATATATATATATATATGTGTATATGCACATATGTGTAGGTATGTTAATGTGCACGTATATACACACATATATATATATACATATGTATATAAACTCGGTGTAAGCAAATGATTCAGAGACGACTTTGCCAGAGGAGCATGTGAAGGTTATGGCGCTTCATTATAGCTCCCCGTGTTGTGGCTAGTCAGTACTCATGACGTACCTGCTTGCCCTTTGTGACTGAAGTATAGGATCAAGCAAAGTACAGGCAGGCTCTATGCAGCCTCCAGGAAGCCCGGCAACCCTTGGTCAGAGCTGCTCCCTTTCCGGGTGTTGGAATGATCAACTTGCCTTGGGAAACGAGACCAAATGGAGGTGTTTCAAAATAAGTTTTGGGGGACTACCGCCCCAAGGAAGAAGGTGGTTTGTTCTCTTGATGCCCCTTTACACCATCTCCAAAATTGGTACCGAGCCTCACACCACGCACCCAGCCCGGGTCTCTGACTCGGGTCGAGTCAGGTGCTGGTTCGGGCCTCCACTAGCCACTTCGACCGGAACCCCTCCAGCCGTCTGCTGCAGAACTTCTCCAAGGCATCGACATGCGTCCGATCTGCCGATCTGCGCGCCGACGTCTGGGCAGGGCTCCTTAAAAGATACAAATTTTGCAACCATTTGAAACATGTGGCTTTTTCAACACCAAAATAAAGAGAAACCACCATTTACAAGGCAATGTTCAGGTGTATCATGTAAGGATCCCCGGTCTGGGGTCGCCCACAGGTGCTTATATCTTAGGGCAGGCTAAGTATTGAGACAAGCCCATACTATATGGGCAGTGATACTTGAAATGAGGTTGTAGGTTTAAGACCAAGTTGAATCATAGTCTTAGGACAATGTTGGTATGCATCTAGGCTTTTGTTGTTCTCGTGTTTGAGGGGGTCTTTGTGTTTTGTTTCCAAGTCGCCGTTCGTGCCCCAAGCGCCGGGGATCGGACACCCCCAAACTCTCCAGGCACGGGGGGGGTATGATGTCTGTTGAGAGGTAGCTATTTACTTTCATAATCTCAGGAACGAACGGAGTGGGAAGTGAGTGAGATGGAGGAAGTAGGTGGGTGGGAAGGTCTTATGGCTATCTCTTCATCAATTCTCATTCCTTTATCCCACCTACAATCTTGGATCAGAGACCGTAGAACCATTCCATCTTTCCCGTCTTTTCGCTTCTCTTATGTACAAGCACCTGGAGCAGTGACGGACGCTTCTGGAAGATCTGCTGCCGGAGGTCTTTGGGACCTATCCCGTGAGGCGGCTCGGGACTCGGGACTCGGATCGCAGGACCTGGAGCAGATCGACAGCTCCCTGCCGGGCTCCTTGCGCTCGGCCGTGAGCAGCGGCCTGCAAGAAGTCGATCCCCAGCTTTCTCTCGGGGGCCGTTTTTGGGTTTTGGGCGCTCCAAGGGTGGGCTCCCAAGACCTACTCTGCACAAATCATGCCCAGCAGCAGGACTCCATGTGTTTTTCTCCTCCGTTTCCAGGTCAATCTGCAGGGGAGTCATGGGATAGGATGAATAATTACACATGGGCACACACGCACAGACACACAGACACGAGTGTACGAGTGATTCCGATTCGAATTCACATGAGCCACAATCAAAACCGAGGTAGATGAAGGTTAGTAAGGGACAATCCCAACCATAAATATCTGCGGAATTCCGGCTTCTTAATTCTTGAAGCATGGTTCTGGGTCGACCATTTTACTGCCAGGTTTTGATTGTGACTGACACGTTGTTTTCGCATCAGTTCGCAAAGTCCAAGGCATCTGTACGTTGGCCGGGGCCATGGTCACAATCGTGCTGGCCACCCCTGGGTGACTGCCTCAGGAAACTCGAGAGCCTTGCCCCCACATGGGTGTATCAAGTGAAGTGGTTCGTGGGAGCCCCAAGCAGATCTCCTGGTTGATTGATAGGGGTCCCAATTTTGGCGGGGGTTCATCACTTTTGGACACCCCCTTCTCATAGGAAGGGTTGATGAATCCGGGTCAACCTGAACATAGGTCAGAATCTACTTGCCGGGCCAACTCCAGTTGGGAAACTTGTAAGTAGGTGACAAGCTAGCCCAACTTGCCAACTTGGCCGAACACCCAAGGAGCTGAGTCCCGAAGCGGGACAGGACCGAGCCCCGAAGCCCCTACCACCTCTCACTGCCGCTCTCAGCCCGTCCCCGCCATCCTCATCCCCCATCTCCTCCCACCACCTTGGAACCAACCATTGGGAGGCAATTGTTTCAGGATGTCACCCATCTCAGTTTTGCACGAACCCTCTCACCCAACCAACAAAATTTCGCATATCCCCATTGCCCGAATTTTGCACATCCCCATCTTTTCCGGTCAGGCACCTTTCAACTCCCATCTAGCGGTACTTGTTTCGGGATCACCCAACCACAAGCCCCGAATCATCTCCCCGAAAAAAATAAAATAAAAAGAACACAAAGACATAATAGTAATAGAATCATGATAATTAATGATAATAATAATAATAATAATAATAATAATAATAATAATAATAATAATAATAATAATAATAATAAAAATAACAATAAATTACAGTAATAATAAGAAACGCCCTCCGAAATCGGAGGTTCCTGGCGGTGCTGGCGCCCTTGATTTGGATCTACGGGCGGTCGCTGCAGTACTACCGCCCCGTGGCCCGGGAACTGAAGCGCCTCGAGCCCCTCGCGAGGCTCGAGCTCGCGCGGTATGCCGGGAGGGGTTCGGAGGGAAGGACGCCACGGGACGCCACGGGAGGCCCCAAAAAAACTACTCGGACTGGGCTTCTGATGGTTGAAAAGCACAGGGAATCAAAGTCAAGCCCTAGAATCTAGGGGTTGAGTTCGACTCCCCTGTGCTTTTCAAGCGTGGTGCTTTGCGAAAACTCGCCGTTCGCCCTGTCCAAAGACTTGTCTAGAAAGAAGGACCCTGGAATGAATGGGGAAGGTACTTGTGGAACAACGCCGTCTTTGGCGTCGTGAGAAAAGGGAGGCACCCCGTTTTGGAGGGAATTCGAGGCAACCACTGGCCTAGAAGTGTCTTTCTTTGGGTCAGATCGATGGATTCCGGCTCTAATCAGAATCCAGAAGTGCGATACGCATCTTGAGAGGGTCCTTGACAGAGAAAGCCGCAAGGCGGCTTGGGGAAACAACACCTTGCCAGGACTCCCGTTTACGCGGAGCAGCAGGCTTGGGGGGGGGGGGGGCTTGGGCTTGGGCGGGTGCTGTGGGACTGGCCTTGGCACCCTCCAGGTGGTTTTGACCATTTTTTGTCCGGCGAAAACCACCAAAATAGGTGACCCTAGGGGGTTCTATGGTATTTAAGGGTAGGATGGTTGCTCCTTGGTTCGACCCACCTTTCTAACTCTCCAGGCCCTGAATTCAGGACACGAGCTTCGGCTGAAACGGAACTCCAGTTCGATCCCAGAGGTCGGTGAGCTTTATATAATGGGAGTTTTCCTGAAATCACTGTCGGGCTTTTTTTTCAGGGGACCTCCAGAATGGTGGTGTTCCTTTTGGTTTCCTTTTAAAAGACTACAACAACAGGGCACTCAAGAGCTACACCCTAGTATGTTGAGGATGTTGACTTGGGAATGAGAAAAGCTACATGGGCCATGTGCCGTTCATATGCCCCTAATGTCCCTTTACCATGTTTCCTACCTTCCGTCACTAAGGCCGCCAATTGGCTCCAGTGGTGTAGCATACGAACTTAAGATGAATCATGCTCTTCCAAGTCCACTGAAAGTCAGTCTCCTCTCCAGGGGACCTATGGGGAGTGGGAGGCAGAAAGCAACATGGCAGAATAATGCCAATATCCATGACACGAGCATGGTGTTGCGTCCGTGGGCTTTCCGCGTCCTTCGTCATTCCCCAGAAAGCAGCCCCTGTTTCTCACAGATCCAAGAGACGTCCCAAGCTGCACAACGCGGCTAGCCACTCTTTGCATTTTCGGATTTTCCCGGAGCAACCGGTTCCTGCCATTGGTTGCATGGCTTGCTTTTTTGTTTTGGTTTCCTCAGAAGTCTTTCTTGCTTTCGATTCAGGGAATCAATCGGCTTCGATGGCAACTTTCTCAAAACCCGGATTGATGAAGTGCAAGGGGCAGACCCGGGTAGGAACAGACGCATATCCTTCCTTTGGATTCCTTACATGGTTTGTGTTCGACCCCTTGAGTACCATTTCATTGTGACTCATTTGGGTATTCAAAACAGCGACTTGGACCACCGGTGCTCTCCCTTTTGGTGTCAAACCAAGGTGAAAAGGGGGAACTGAAAGAAGAACACAACCATTTGCTGTTTGCTGCAAAACCCCCATTGGCCATTTTGGTGGTTCAAATACCGCAACTGTCTTGGCAGAGCCAAGAGTCAGCTCGAGCGCAGCAATAACCGCAGACTCAGCTGCTTCGAGGCGGCGGCATCTGGGGTCATCACCATCCGCAAGCTGGGGCTGGGGAACGTCATGGCGGTGCCGGCCTCGTCCGTTTATCTTTGGATATAGATCAGAATTTCGGCCTCAGGAATGCCCTCAGTTTCGCAGATATTGAGTGATATCTTGTTGACTTTGGTTCCACCTTCGTTTCTTACTCCGTTTTCTGTGTTTCTCTTTTTCTTGGCCACTGACCTCTGATCCCCCCGCGCTTGATGGATGGCCCTCGCCGCTCGATGGACGGATCCCGCGGCTCGAGCGAGCCGAAGGCGCGGGCGCTGGGCGCCATCGACGGCAACACGGCGGTGTCTTTCGCCGCGAAGGCGGTGGACCGGTGGTTCTCCCTGCGGATGGAGCTGCCGCACGGCTCGAGCTGGACGGCTAACGACGGTTCGCTGGGCGGCGTTGTTTCTTCTTCTTTTTTTGGGGGAGGTGTTTTTTTTTTTGGGGCGGGGGGGGGGGGGGGGGGGGGGGGTTTTGGGTTTGGGGGGGTGGGTGGGTGGGGGGGCGGGGTGGGGGGTGGGGGGGGTGGTCAAAGAAGAAAGTCGTTGCTGGTGGCGCAAACTTGAGCTGTCTGGTTGTTTTGATGGTGGGTACATGGAAACAAGACACGTGCATTGGCACTTTAGTAATTACCCCGCTTTCCAACTATGGCAGCGGGTTCTTGGGGGTTCCCAAAAGTCTCTTGGTAGATTCCATGATGGTTGAACAGGGGGAACTGGGTACTTCTACATTGGTTTTGGTTTTGCAAAGGTATGCCACCTGTTGATGTCTACTTGTCCAACTAGAATTATCTTTTGGGTGGTGTTCAGACAGTCCCCCCCTTGGATGGAATCTGAACGAGGGCCCCTGTTACAGAAGCTTGCTTGGCCTGCCAAGGATCCCTTTCAGGTTCCATCTTTGTTTGGGAGGGTACCAGAATGTGCTGATTTGGACAGTACATTCCAACATTCCAGATTTATTCTATCAGCAGGAAATGCCTCAACTTTACTTCACCATCATAACTTTACGCGTGGCTGACAGGCGCATAGGATCGCACATCTGGAGTTTCTGCTTAAGGCCACAGATTAGCCAAGACGTCATCTTCCAAAGCGTTTTGTGGGTTGACGGGGCCTGTAAATGTTGAACCCGGATTACTCAACCTGGCAGATGCAATAGGGCGGTGCTTCCCCAAGCTCGTGCAGGATTTCTCCTCTGAAGTTGGACACCCTCCCGAAGGAAGTAAGATCTTTCTTGTGGACGCGTCCTTTGTGGAACTCACACATTCTGTCCACAAACAGTACCCCAGTTTGAAATTAATAGTATTATTATTGTTATTAACATTGTTATTTATAGCTTTATTAATACTGTTACTATTATTATTATTTTCATTATTATTATTATTGTTGTTATTGTTATTGTTATTGTTATTGTTATTGTTATGGTTATTGTTTTTGTTATTTTTATTATTATTATTATTATTATTCGTATTTATTATTATTATTATTATTATTATTATTATTATTATTATTATTATTATTATTATTATTATTCGTATTTATTATTATTATTATTATTATTATTATTATTATTATTATTATTATTATTATTATTATTATTATTATGTGTTTTTATTTTATTTTTAATTTTGTTTTTATTATTATTATTATGATTATTATTATTGTTGCGATTTTTCTTAAACACAACAACAACCCAAACATGCCATTGGAATTGAGGCTGGGCAACCTCATCGTGTTGGCCTCCTCCTTGGTGTGCCTCTTGTCGGCCGGCGCTCCCGGTGCGGCCGCCGGGGGCGCATGGGCGGAGGCGCGCTCGGCCATCGCGGTGACCCAGGCGGGGCCCGTTCCGGCTGAGCCTTGGTTCCTTCTTCGAAACCATTGCACACCATTGTTGGTTGGTATTTCCAGGGGAAGCATCACCCCAGTTTTTTTTTTTAAAGGTGATGCGGGATTTCGTCCATCCACAGCAGGTGTCCCCAAATGTCAGGTGTTCCTTTGGGAGCCCAAAGTTAGGTACCTGGATCGCCAGGTGCGATCGCTTCTTTCCATCCACTTTACCCCAAAAACCAGCAAGAGCGACTGAAACAAGCAGCAACCTGGTTATCTAGGTAGGAACACGGCAAGTCAGTGGTTTGTTTTGTTTGGCGGCTTCAAGGTGCTTGGAGGTTGGTGAAACAATCGTTCAGGTAGCCCTAAGTTGGTTTTTCTGGAGTGGTGGAGAAAGGGATTTGAACCGCTGGCTTTTGTAGAACCCACCAACTAGAAGGAAGCTGAATCTGCAGGGAAGCTAACTATAGTAGGCGACCAGGGGCGTCCATTGTGCAACACCCGAGGTAGACATATTTGGTTACCTCCGAGGTAGACATATTTTTGAACCGCTTACAGTAGTTAGAAGGATCCAAACCACAAATTTCGTGCGGAGGTTGTTAAAACACCAACCACCAATCAGGATTGGTGTGTCTGTTTTTTGGGGGTTCGGACCCCGCAAGCCGGTTTTCCTTTTGGTTGTCCCTTACGTCCCCCCCAAAATGGGTGGGTTCCTTTTGGTTTCCCTCGCCAACCCCGCTCATCAAAAGACGGATATCCCGGACGGGTTTTTCCGAGTCGAGGCGCTCTCGGTGTGCGGCCTGCTGAACTGGACGGTGCGCACCATCGCGCTTCCGGGCCCCAATTCTGTCGGGGCGCCGTGGGTTTTGTGGGAACGGCCTTCAAACTGCCTCTGGCGAATTCCCATTTTGAAGGGTAGTTTGAGGGTCCTGGTACCCTTTTTGGGGTTTGCAAAAAGGGCCAAGAACCACCATTTGGGGGGCAAAGCCTGCTGTTGCTTCTGTAGACGGACAAAAAATCCATGCCCATCGGCACCATCCACCGTGTTTGAGGAGCACGCATCAGGTTTTGTGGCTGCCTCTGTCCATGACTGTTTGGACATGTTCCGCCAAAATCACAACTACATTGCCCCAAACAGGCAGCCGCACCATATGGGAGTGCCTCAAAATAGGATTTGGACCCCCCCGGTCGAGACCCTAAGTGGCGGTTTCCCTCTCTTCAAGCAAGCAGGCAACACCTGCAGCAGTGGTTTGGAGCGGTTGCGTTTCGCCTGTTTTCTTAGGCAGATTTGTGGTTTGCTCAGGCAATGAAAACGGCAGTATGTTCATGTAGTCTCCAGACCGTAGAAAGCACCCTGGGTCCACTGGGGGTCCACTGGGGGTCCACTGGAATAGTCTCCCCCAAATGTTACGTGTGTATTGTTCTTTTTTGTCTTCTTCTTTCCACAGCTTATTTTTAGCTCCTTACTTTTTATCATTCTATTCATCTCCTCTCCATGGGTGTTTCCCTTTTCCCGTCCTTTTGGGCTTTTCTCGGCCCGAAGCTTGGGGGCGTTTTTGGCTTGAGGCAGACGGAGACCAGCTTCACCTCCTTCCAGCGCATCACGGGCTCGCTGGAGAGCACGGAGCTGGAGGCGCCCCGGGAGCTGCCCCAGGACGGGCGGGACGGAGGTTTTGGTCCATGGTTCCACTCGCCAGGGTTCCATTTTGGAGCCTTTTTCTTAAAGAGCCACAGCCATATGGCCTCAGTGTCATCAACACCCGGAAAATTGGAGGGTAAGGGACCAGCCGGGGTAGCTGAGGGGAATTAGAGAGTAGCATGGGGACTGGTTTCCTTTGGGTTTTATCAGAGCTCGGGTTTTGAGGGTGTCTTCCCAAAATGAACCCAGCTGGCTGTAGGTAATCAAGGGCCCCACCATTTGAAGGAGAAGACCTGGTAACCCAAATGAGTCACAATGAAAACCCGGGCAATTGGAGGGTAGGGACCATCCCAGCCATGAATGGGTGCGGATCTCCGCCTTGGGAATTCTTTACATGGTTCCGAGTAGGCCATTTTACTCCCCGGTTTTGATTGTGGCCTCAGTTTACTATCCCATCCATGAAAATTCAGAACCTGACTGGTCCTCGGTCCCTGCCACCATGTTCAACTCTAGAAATTTGCCAGGCAACCCACGTGACTGGATCCACGTGTTGCCGGATCCCTGGACCTCAAGCTGTTGGCTGAAGCTTTGGGATTTTTTTTCCATTGGGCCCGCAGAAGGTTCATCACTTTGCAAAGGCTCACTCCCTGAGTTCATGGACTTTATACTTTTTGGGAAGACCATTTTGGTGGTAAGCAACAAGGTTGGACTTTTTTTGGCCAATCACCTCAGGAAGCGAGAAGGGGTCAACAGCTTTTCCAAGGTTGGGAAAGCCAAGAGGAAGCCTTCGGAAGACAAGACAATGGGTTTTCATGGGGAACGGAAACCAAACCTGGAAAGCACAATCGCACAACGGAATTCCCCAAGGCAACACAAACCATGAAGCTGCGTTAGAAGGCAAAGCCAACCCAAGGATGGAAAAGGGACGGGAAATTCAACCCATTTCTTGCTACCAAATGGAAAGCAAGCCAAACATAAGAAAGACATGAGAACGCAAAGAGGATCCTTTTGGAATGGCCAACTTGATACTATCTTAAAACTTTGGGGTAAGGGACAGCCACGGCGTCCGTGTTTTGGTCCATTGTTCACCGAAGTTTTTTCCAGCTCCTTCTGGGTGAGTTGAACAACGACCAGCGAAGTGATGGCTTTGGTGCCGTGCCCAAGGCTGAGAGGTGGTGAACGGGAAACCAGAAGGAGGCCAGCTATTTTGCAAGGGGCCCCCCTTCCATCAAGGGAAGTGAAGCAAAAAGCCCCGGTACATGCCCTAAATGTGTGCCAGTATCTATGAATCTATGAATCATGTGCATGTATTTGTTCATTCATACAACCATGCATCATATAATTTGTTAGTATTTATTTACACATGTATATATATATATATATATGTATACGCATTATGCTACTCCCAAATTGAAAGGAACATATGGTTGGGCGACGTTGTGACGTTAGGACGCCCAGCTGCCGGCCGCCTGGCCGGTCCAAGGCACCGTCACCTTCGAGGCACCTTTGGAGTTCGGAGTTCAGAACCCGAGGCTCAGCCAACGTGACTGGTGCGATAGGGAATGACGAGTCCGGGTTTTGGGCATGAACCGGACAGTTGTTCCCTTAAAGGAACCCCCATCCCGGGGCTTGTTTATGGGGGTCATTCCATTTCTTCCCTGGTTCTCAAGCAACGTAGTAGCTTGTTTGTGTTTGGGGACGAGATGAGCAGAGGGTTCTATTTTACCACAAATCAAAGAGCAAACGGGCAAACGGGCAAACGAGCAAACGAGCAAAAGTAAGGTTTCCATGCACCAGCCAGGTAAGTAGGTTAACTATAAACGTGGCTACAAGGGAATGATCATCCCAGTTCCCAGTTATACTAGTTATAACCGTGGTTGTCAGCCACTTACTAAGTTGGTTGAACATCCACGTGGGTTGCAAGGATGAGGGCCCAAACAACTTGAATGGGATTGTGGGATACATTAAAGGCGCACTTGAGGCCAAACAAATACAACAATGGCTGATTGTTACGGGGTAGCTTGGTTTTACAGCACCCCACTACCCCATTTGTACAGATATTTAGGCCCTGGTGCCATCTGCGAAGCCCAGGGTTGCCAATGCAGTTTTCCAGCCGGCTGATTTGGATCCAACTTGTGAATCAGTGTGCAGGGTGCGTGGATCGATCCCAGTTCCCACTGCAGATAAAGCCATTTTGCTGCATGGTGCTTAAAGGGTGCTGGCTTTCTTGGTTACCAGAGCCACCTTTCTTTTTTTTTTGCGGGAATCAGGGGAAAGCTCTGACTGCAGCTGGCCTCATTATTTTACCATGATCAAAGTCACCCCCTAAGTGGTGGGTCAAAGAGAAACAACCGGTTCCATTTTCTTACTTTGATAACTCCCAGAAGCCGTGAAAACAATGACCCCAGTGCACTTTTGGTTCTTAAAGGTGCTGGTTCCCTTAGTTACCAGAGCCACGTTTTTTGTTTTGTTTTGTGGGAATCACGGGAAAGTCCTCTGACTGCAGGGGGTGTCCTTCCGGTACCGCCCCATGCTGCCGCTGGTGCTGCAGAAGTTGGAGCTCCAGCTGGCGCCCGGGCAGCGCATCGGCGTCATAGGCCGCACGGGCAGCGGCAAGAGCACCCTGTTGAGGCGGGCACGACAGGGCCGGGGGCTGGCGCACGTGCGTGCGTCAAGCGTTTTTTTGTTTTTTTGTGGGGGGGCGGGGGGGGGGGAAATGTAAATCAAGGATTCAACGACTAAAATCATCATCATCATCATCATCATCATCATCATCATCATCATCATCATCGTCAGCAGCAGCAGTAGCAGCAGCATCATCATCATCATCATCATCATCATCATCATCATAATCATCTCCACCTCATTCATTACAATAGTCTAGCCGCTAAAAATCGTAACAGCCACCAAAAGAACATCACCACCTCATCCATCCATTCTAGTAGTTGTTCTGTTTCACCTGCTCCATCTCCGCTATCGTTGTATTCAGGCTTTGTTAATAGACCTTCAGTTCTAATATTAGTTTTCATATTGCGGTTTGCTTTTAAGAATTCTCTTAGGTTTGATTTATAGTGTGCTGTCATTTGTAATCCTTCTTCTCCTTCAACACGTTTGTCGACTAGTTTTATTGAGTTGGTGTAGGACTTGAAAGACGCAGCAAAGTTCGAATTTATGAATTTGTTTCTTATAGCGTGTCTTGTTAGTGCGTTCTTCACTCTTAAGCCTAGTTCTATTTTCTTATTGGAATAACTTTAAGTGTTCATTGGTATTTTTTTGTACTTGGTTAAGTTTTACTTAAAGCTTTTTGGACATTGGTTTGTCTTTGTTGTAGCTGAAGTTCTTATCTCCTTTTTGCAATTGGTTTAACTCTTTTCTTCCTCTTTAGGTATTTCTGCTAGGTCATTATTAACTAGATAATCTATATGTTTTAGTCATATATACAATTGTATCTTCGCAGTTCTTTAAGTAGCTTTGAACAAATGAGTTTCAATGATTTTGGATATTCAGTTCTCTGCAAAATACTTAAAGAACACATCACATATAAGATTAATAGTGTAATGGAGCTTTTCAATTACCGTAAGTGTGAAGGCTATAAGAAACAACAAGATACTATTAACGTGGAGTTGTCAAACATATTACCGTCAAATGTTCGTAGTAAAATAGCCGAAGATAACATTTACGTGATAGATGTTGTAAAACAGAAAGAAACGAGCAAAAGTTTACGGAAAGGTTTTTTTTTTTTTTTTTTTTTTTTTTTAAACATCTCCAGTTGAGGCTCTTTTTGTTTTACAACAAAAAGCCAATGCCTGAAGAGAACATAGAAAGGTTCGGAGTCCGGAGGATTTAACAATGTTAAAAAGTATACGGCCTTTGCAAAAAAGAATCGTGAAATGTTTGGATCAACCACAATATTCATAGGATTGAAACAATACAGGAAATCTTAAAACAATGGACATTGGGATAACATGTATATTTCAAGTATCATGTAAAGCAGAATTCTAGTGTATTACGTATGCCAAAAATAGTGGGAAATGAATTACGAAACACTCGGACAATAAAATACTCAATACATAGATGAAGAATAAATTGGGAACCATGTTGATGATATTCTGGAATATTATTTGTCATAAAGCTTGAAACATAATTCTTATAATATTTTTTGGTAAGGAGGTTGTGGGTGGTGAGGTTTTGTGAAGATGTTTGGATATGATATTTCTGGGATGTGTTTTGATGAAATGAAGAAGGCATGTTAACGGCTTGGTTGTTATGAGGCAGAATCCGACGACAAGCCTGGTCCGTGCGGACCGACTGATTTTAAGAAAGCTTTCGCGGTGAACTTTCAAGCGTTGAAACGGGTGTTGTCCACCGCTACTGCGCCTGCTAGTGCCAAGCCTGCCACGGTCACGAAGTGGGTCCGCGCCGCAGCTTTAGCCAAGCAAGAACTTGATGAGTTCCCAGGGCCTACTGAGCAGCATCTTGAGCCCTTGTCAAAAGAGAAAAGGCCACTCAAAGATCGGGCCGGTGAATTTGGTCTTGCTTTTTCATTTGTTGCCAGCATGAAGAACCAGGAGCTGTTTAAATGCATCGCCGCAGCATTTGCAATGAGCTTGGCGAGCTGGTTTCCTGGTTTCTTTGTGAACTTCTCCCCATTTGTTTAGCAGACCAAGCGAGGCAATGATTTGAAATCGAAGCCGGAAAGCGAAGCCAGTCTGTTGCCATGCTATGTACGCCAAGAGCCTGTGACCTGCAAGCTCAGTCTCTGCAGCCAACAACGTTCAAACGCCGTGTGGCTCGACTCCCTTTGTCTCTCGGACGCGCGGCAATGTTTTCTCCGAGATGCAACCTCATTTCTTCTCAATTGCGAGTTGACTTAGCCTTGCAATTGTGTGGCTTCGAGCTATATATATATATATATGCATCGCCCCCGACCTCCAAAAACCAGGCCACAGCCCTAGGCCTCATGATCTATCATCACAGTACATGTACAAAAACAGTACAAAAACAGATCGATCCCTCAGCTCACTCTGAAGCCATGCAGAGTACTACATTGGCCCTCACAGCCCGGGAGGCTGAGCTGCTGAAGCTTGCAGGGATTCCCTGTGTGGTGTCTGATGCTTATATTGGCATATAGAAAATGCAATCTTGCATATAAACCTTGAGGCTCCACATGGCACCAGCAATGGTGAGCGTGTGGTGGCCTTGGTCCGGCGCTAGCAGTGAGCATGAGGGTTTGTGGAAATGCTCTGAGACCCTTCATCACGAAAGAACCTGCTCCACAGAATTTGGAGCACGCGCCTCAAAACTTGACTGTAGCCCTTTCACATCCTCAGGGCCTTTGCGCACATTCCCGTGGCTTGCCACGGGTGCTCGCGGCATGTTTATTTAGACCCACAGCATACAGCATGGGCGTTTTGTGCATGCGCGCACTTGCATGAGATGCACGCACGTATAATCCGGAGCATTTTGGCCTCATGCAGCGCCCGGCTTTTCGTTTTCCTTAGAAGCCGGAGCAAACTCGCATTGCCCATGGGCTGCTAGTGCCAACAGTGCACAAGCCGACCTGCGCGGCAAAATGGGCCAGGCAGATCGAGGATGTGGTGGATTGGCGCTTTGCTAGCATATACTTGTGCATGTGTCGTGTAGACACTAGCTGCCGGCGTTGCTGAGGAACCCGATCCCGGTGAAGCCCAAGCCGCTCCCGTTGCCGGTGCCAGTGCCAGGGGCCTTGCAAGTCAGTGTAATTACGCTCCAAACCGCACTTGCAGGTCAAAGACAGCCTTGGGCCTTTGCACAAGGCCGAAGAGCTTGCCGCATCTTGAGTACGGTGCTTGGCTAGCAAGTCGTCATCCATGCACATGTACGTGCATGATCACGACGCTGATGATTGGCAGGGCAAAACCTTCGCAGCTTGCGCCAGGTTCTCAACTAATATATTGTGTGCGCCTTTTCGATCTATTGTGTAAATATACGCCTTTGCCGCCTGGCAGGGCTGCGGGCGCCCTGGACGATGAGGGGCCCTGGCGTATCGTGATGGCTGGAGCATACGTGCCTGGATCTTAGCACACGCTTGCGGATTCGCTGGTGGCGGGTTTGGTTAACGTTGACAACGAGGCGTGATCAGCTTGACCTCCCGCTGCCTGGCTCTCAGCAATGTGCGCATGCCTTTGCACGTCATCCATGATGCGCAATTGCTTAGATCGTCACGGTGGAACGAAGCACCATATGAGTGCTCGCACTTAGTTTCGAACAAGTGGAGGTCCCCCAGCGGCATGATATTGGATCAGGCCATCTTCGAATTCGGATTACACGAGCTCCATGTCGGCAGACAACGTAGATCACTTTGACCGCGAAGAAGAACAGTGCCAGCCTTATTGCAATCGAAGCATTTAACGACCAACTACGCTGAGCAGGACTTTGGCGCCCATCGCTGCAGCAGTGTGCCAGCGCTAGCCAATTTGTTTCTGTGCGGTTCTTGGGAAAATCGATCCATTTTCGCCCAGCTCAGGCCGGCCTCTACAGCGTATGCTATTGCTCCTTCGGTGCCCAACATCGCTGCAGCGATCCTGCCCCGATCCAAGTTTATATTATTGAAGTTTATTATTCATTTCCGCCTTCTCAGGCCTGGCACCATCCCTGCCGCAAGGCCTGCAGAGCTCAGTGAGTGCAAGACTCAATCGATTTCGCTGCTGCTGTGCACGTGCGTCGCTTTGAATCACACAGCCGCCCACCTTCGATGTTGCTGTAGGATCCTCAGATCGTCAGACGCCGGTGTTCTGTGACGAGCTGGGTGCGCGGCCATGAGGCAAGCAAAGTGGCACTCGGCCCCGGCGGCGGTGCCAGCCTTGCCTGGATCCTAGATCTAGATATTGGGCCATTGTGTTGATATCTGGTTGAGTGTATTGATGGAATTGGATGAGGTGGAGATGTGGTAGGCTCTGATGAAAATGATAGAATTAATGAGGTGGAGATGTTGGAGGCTGTGATGAAAATGATAGAATGGATGAGGTGGAGATGCTGGAGGCTGTGATGAAAATGATAGAATGTATGAGGTGGAGATGTCCGAGGTTGTGATGAAAATGATAGAATGGATGAGGTGGAGATGTCGGAGGCTGTGACGAAAATGATAGAATGAATGACGTGAAGATATGGTTGGCTTTGATGAACATGCTGGATAAAATGAATGAGGTGACAATCTGTTGGTGGCTGTTGTGATTTTTAGAGGCTAGGTTTTTTGAAATGAATGAGGTGGAGATGATGATGATGATGATGATGATGATGATGATGATGATGATGATTTTAGTCGTTGAATCCTTGATGTACATATTTTTGTGGGGGGGGGGGGGACTGAAGGGGAACCAAAGTCCCACTTTGGCGTGCTCTAAAGGGGAGACCAAACAAATGTGTTTTCTGTAGGAAAGCCAAGCAAAGACGCTTGGTTTGAAAAGAGGAGCCTCTGTCTTCATGCGTTTTTAGTATGTGTGTGGAAGCCCAAGAAAGGAAAACCACTCATTGGAAGCCATCGGAAAACATGTTGCGTTTGTGTGTTTGTTTCTTTTTGCGGGGATTTGGCCGTCCTTTCGCGAGGATCCTGCTGCGCACCGTAGAGCCCTGCGAGGGTTCCGTGAAGATCGACGGGGTGGATCTACAGCAGGCGGGCGTCCGGGGTCTCCAAACATAAGGGGCGTCCTGATGCCGGCCAAGGTTTATCCCAAGTCCTGATGCATGTTGTAAGAACATATGCACGAGAACATACAGCATCTGCATGGCAAAATGGGAGAGCCCCCTTAGAAGAACAGGGCGCTGCTCGGATCCCCTTGGTTCATCCTCTGTTGGTTGGGCTAGGAACACCCAGCCCGTTTAGGTATGCCCTAGTCCAACCCCAAAACGGCTGAGAACCAGGGATAGCATCGCCAGACTCGGCTTGCCTTTGCCCCTTTCACCTTGATACTCGCGACAAAGAGCCAACAAGATTTATATGGACCCGCGGACAAGACTCATGTTCACAGGGTCTTGTCTAACCTCACTGGCTCGCGAGAACCACTTTGTTTGGACTGCATGCAGGGTGCACTTCATTTTCTTGATTTCAGCGCTCAATTCAGGAGCAAATAAGACTGTGGTCACAACGGCTGTGCTCACATTAGGAGTAAACTTACCGTCCAATGGCGCAGTGTTTGTCCGGATCAGGAGTAAATATAGGTGCGTCTTTTTAGGGGGCTCAGTTGCCCAAAGCCAACCTTTTGACCTTTTGGTTTTCCTCTTTTGGTCATGGCCCCAAAAGGTTAACCTTTTAGTCCCAGGTCCTTTGGGCAACTGAGGGGGCCCTCACAATGTTAGACCGTTTGTCCCAAAGACAGCCCCATATGAGCCTCAATCAAAACCCGGGTAGATGAAGGTTAGTAAGGGACAATCCCAGCCATAAATAGCTGCGGAATTCCGCCTTTTCAATTCCGTACAGGGTTCTGGGTTCACCATTTTTATACCAGGTTTTGATTATGACTCATATGGGGTAAATACCGTTGGGTCTTCGGGGTGTGAGAAGTGGCGCGCAAGGTGGGCTTAGCGCGGCTCCGCTCCGCCATCACCGCCATCCCCCAGGCAACCAAAGTCGGGGTGTCGACGAAGAGGCACACACTCACGCGTGATATATATATATATATACACATGTGATACATATACATGTACATTTAATCTATATACATATATTCATACACATAAGTTTACCTGCCAGGTTCAGAGCACAGCTGCACCAGGCGTTTGTACGAATAGGCAGCAACTTCTTCATGAACCAGGATAGGGGAAACCATGAAAACCATGACCCACGTAAGGATCTTTGACGATAGGGGAAAATCCACGTGGCGCTGGGTGGGTACCCTTCGCACCCTGAGCCATGGTCAAAAATAGGAAGGTTTCGTCTGGCACACATGGGAGAATTAGCGTGTCCCTTGCTTCTTGTTGGAAATTCAGTAAGTCACCTCTCACCCCTCCACATGCACCATAGATCTCATTGCCGGACGTAGCTCACCTTTCCCCAATTTTCGGCCTTTTTTGCGTTTCCTTCATTTTGCCCTGCAACCAGCAAACACGCAACTCTTTTGCATGGGCAAGCACCACGGTCTAAGTTTGGTGAAGATCTGCGGCTCTTTGAGGACAACTTCCTCGTCAGCGGCACCATCCGCGAGAACGTCGACCCGCGGAGCTCCTACAGCGACGAGGAGGTGAGGCACGCCCTCGAGGTGGGGAGAAAGCAAAGCACGGCGACTCGCGCGCAGGGTTCTGTGCAATGTTTTGGGCCGGCAAGTCTTGATGGATGGATGGCATGTGTTTTTGTTTTTCAACAGGGTACCCTTCTCAGGGTTGGTTTAAAGGGAAGCCCACAGGGAAAAACACTCATTTTTGGGGTCCGTCTGTTTTGACACATACCCAGATGAGAATTACATGGATGCACATACCGTGGTCAAATGACCGGTCCTTCACTAGAGGTTTGGTAGGAACGGGCATTCAGTTGCTACTCGGAATGATAAAGGACCACCGCTAGCAGATGGCCATTTTTAGCCACACACCAACAAAGAGCACCGTGGCCGTTTTTTGACAAAGTCCCCTCTTGGTTGAACACCACGTTGGACTTTTGCAACACGCAGTTGTCCTCGGGTATGTACTTTGGCGGTTGATGCCAAAAGCAGACCCACCTCAAAAGGGGAAGCAGGGATGGAGGGGTGGACCCATCTGAAACAAAGATCTTGACGTCACAAATTTCCAACAACGAAACAACATGTTTTGAATTGTCCAGACCCCCCCACCAAAAAGTGCCTCACATTGTCAGCTCGATGCTTGCAGATGCAATTGGGCGTGAGGGGTGGCAGTGCACGTACTCAGTACGCCGAGCCAAGAAACCTCCAATTTAGACGCCCAATCGCACTCCCACAGTGGTCTCCGATATGTTTTCAATGTTCCAAGCATTTGATATCCGATGAAAAGAGTGTCTCCACAAATTTACACGTGCCCGGTACAGAAACTCCCTGGGTCGCCTCTAAGTTGGACCATGGCAGCAACCAATTGGAGCCAGGAATCAGAGAACACAGAGCGCGGAACACACGCCCGTTTGTTGGAAGTCTGAACATTGAACGGGTTGGACATACGAACCATTCAATTGGGTTGGAACAACTTTCAACTGCATGGGATTGGATTGTGAAAAAACATTCTTGGAAGCATGTAGGATATGTTCATCTGCGGAAGCTTTGGAAGTTGAACGAGTTGGAGTGAAACCGAATGGGTTGGACCGCAGTTCACGCTCAACCCGCTTGTACACTCTGACTATGCGATCCCCGTGCGTCTCACTTCTCAGCCAATCCCATTCACTTTCGGTTAAGAGCAACCACTCAACCAACAACTTGTATATTTTAATTCAAGCAGCCAATTTTTGACAACGAACCCCCCCCCCCCTTCCCCCTCCCCTCCCCCTCCCCTCCCCTCCCCTAAACCCCTCCCCTCCCCCTGAAACAGAAAGTAGGGGGCGCCAAGAAGGCCTCCACGCCCTCCGCGCCAGGCGGCCTCCCTGGGCACCTGGGACCTTCAGAGACGAGTGGACCCCTCTGGCGGCATCTCCCCCGGGGAGAAGCAGCGCCTGGGCTTCGGAGTTCGGAAAACCGCTCCTTTGAAGGGAAACCCAAGGGAAAACGGGCTGCTTAGCGCTTGCTTTTGCAAATTGGGTGTGGTTTTAGGTTGTTTTGTGTAGCTATGTTTTGTGTTTTCAGCAGGTTCTTTCTTGATTGTGCTTGCAGCTTTGCGTCGTTTGTCTTGTTCTGTTGTTGTGCTTCGATGTTGCTTTGCCATTGTCATTGCTTTCTTTTTTGTTTTGTTATCGAGGTAGTTGAGGTGTTTGGTTTGAGCAGGTGTTTTGAATTGCATCCTCGGCTTCGACCAGCCGTTTCGCGACCCCCCGCCAAAACCCGGGCGCTTCGCTTTTCCGCTTCGCCGGGCCCGAGGCTCATCGGGGTGGCGCGGGCGGTGCTGCGGCGCAGCCGCGTGGTGGCCCTGGACGAGGTGACCTCCCGGGTGGACAAGGCGACCGACGAGAAGGCGAGGCGACGCCGGGAATTTTGGCTGGGCGAATGGCAAGCGGCAAGCGGCAAGCCCCGGGTTTGGGAGGGAGGGTTTGGATTGGGCGGACAAAATTCACGTTCCTTTGAACAGAAAGGGGGAAGATGGATTCCAAGATCCAAAGCACAAAACCAAAGCTCCACTGGGGTAAGGAATGAGGGGGTCGAAGGCCCAAAGCTCTGGGGATATCACAAAACCAAAGCTCCACTGGGATTTGGAGCGGCTTGAGTTTTTTTTGTTTACCCCGTGGGGCTGGGGATACCTGGGCATATTCTTTGCGGCTGGTGCAGCGTTTTTTTTTTTTTTGATTTTAGACACTTGCTGCCCGCTTTTAGAGATTGAGTCTCCTTGGGATGTGATGTTTCAAGGGACATCAAGGTCCCTTGCACAGAGGTCAGGTTCCCCTGCTGGACGGTTTGAACATCACCTCTGGGGGCAACTTGAAGTGAGCTTTTCTTAGACGGGCTGGTATTGCAAAGGGGAATTATAGGGGATTAATGGACAGGGCTCCTTACAGATACATTTTGCCCATTTGAAACATGGCTTTTTCCACCAAAATGAAAGGAAACCACAATTTACAAGGCAATGTTCAGGTGTATAATGTAAGGATCCCTGATGGATTAAACAGAATGCATTTTTCCCCATGGGGTCAGAAGGTCAGAAGGTGCGGATCGATTCCCTCAAGAAAAGTCCTGCCGATTCCGGCGCTCCAACATCCCCTTGAGTTCTTCGTGGGACATGGCCCAATGCAAAATGGTTCCAATTCTTTTCTGTGGCTACTCCTTAGAAGCATCGGGGCCCAACATTTGTTTGTTTTGAGGGGGAGGGAGGGGCGGTTCAAGGATTTTTATGTTTAGGGTCTTAGGCTCCTAGCTAGGTTGAGTTCAAACTATAGTTCCACCCCATTTATCTGCTAAATCCTCAAGTTAATCACTTGGGCGTTCAATCCACTATGTAGTTGTTTACCAAGGCAAAAATAAGAGAACAACCATGTTTTCGCGTTATTTACTATGGTCAAAAGATGTCACAAGCTAGAACAGTGGTGCGAGCACCCTAATTCACGCAAGCCCACCAAGATCACAAACGCTGCCTTTAAAGCGATCCTTTTGGAACACCTACGCCAAGATAAACGGACCTGAGGCAAAATTGAACGCCTTTCTTTTTGAACCTTTTTAACTGTCTTTCGAAATCTTCCCTCGAGCCAAGTGTTTTCTGTCAGGTTCAGCAGGCGCTGAAGCGGTTGCCAGAGGGCACGACCTTGCTGGTGGTGTCGCACCGCTTGGCCACGTTGCACGACTACGACCAGGCGCTTCGGCCCTGAATGAGACGCTTTGCGCTTTCGCGCGGAGCGCTTCGCGTGAACCTGGAGTGAGACGTTTGGGTCCACATGTCAACCTCCGGCCGCGTTGGGCCGGGGGCCAAAAGTACCCCTTTTGAGGTTGTTCTATCTCAGCTCGGAATCCCTTGTATGGGGCCCCCTTGCGCAGATCCGTGGGTTGTAATCCACGCGTGTCGCAAAAAATAAATTGCGGGAAGATATCTCAGGAGTCATCGAAACAGAAGACTTGTTGCAGTTTTAGCCTCTTCTTCCATACCAGGAATCCGAAGACTCCGAGGTTCCACGTGGATATTGCATGGGCAGGCTACCAGATATTTCCCACTTGGGCTTGTAATGGGCGTTTTCCCTGAATTGGGTGGAAGGACTGGAATCACTATACGGGTGTGTGCTATTTCCAGCTTACCCTTTCCAGGTGGCTTTCAAGGAAAACCGCCGAAAAAGAAATACTCTTTCGGGGTGAGACACCCAAACGGACCCACTGGATTTCTCGACTTTCGCGCACTAGAAGCTTCACCACTCGCTTTTTTTTTCTCGGCTGTTTTGACCGACCCGAACTCCCAGATTTCGCGCGCTGGAAGCTTCCATGCTGGGTCTTTCTTCGCTGCCCCAAAAAAAAACTCGGGGGTACGCCCGGGCCAACTCCGTGTTGCTCGTCCGCTTCTGGGGGGGGGGAGGGCGGGAAGCGGCGGCCGTCAGGTGGCTGTGGGTCAAAATCAATGGGACCATTTTGGGGTAGGTGAATTCACCACCCATGTTCGGTCCTATTTTAGTGGTTGGATTGAATCGGATGTTCACTGGGGGCTAACCGATTTGGCTTTTGATCCATGGCCATATGGGTGGCTCCAAATGAATGAACTAGGGTTACGCAGGTTTTAGTCTTCGGTTCATTTACCAAGGTGCCATTTTGTTACACCCCATTTTAGAACCTATTTTAGTGGTTGGATTGGGATGTGGGGATTGAATCGGATGTTCACTGGGGGTACGATTGGCTGTTGCCCCATGTCACATGGGCGCGTCTAGTTTTTATCTTGGGACCCTCCCAAGATGGTGGTGTCCCTTAAAAAAAGAGAAAACAGACACCAAGCAGGGGTCAAAGAAACACCCAAATGCTTGCTCCAAATGACTGAACCAGGGCAAACCGCAGGTTTTCGTCGGTTTCATGTACCAGGGCAAGACATTTCGGTACACCCCATGTTAGAACTTATATTCTGGTACATCCCATTTTGGTACAGCAATGTTTTTTTTGTCCCATTTGGCACACCCCATGCACTGGGATGCCAAAATGGGCCCACTTTGGCCCAGGTGGTGGTGCTGGGGGACGGCCAAGTGCTGGAGATCGGAAACCCCGCGGAGCTGGAGGCACGCCTCGCGAGTCGCGAGGGGTTTTTGGGGGGGAGTCGTGTTTTTTTGGGGCTGGTTTTTGGGGGGGGATCACAGGTTCTGGCGTGGTTTATTTGTTTTTTTCTTTCATGGTTTTGCTTGATGGTTTACTTGTTTGATTTTTGTTTTCGTGGGTTTAGGCGTGTTTTTGGGTGGTTTTGTGGGGTGTTTTGCTAGTTTGTGTTGGATCTAGATTTACCCCGGATCTTGTGGGTAAATCCAAACCGGGCTCCAAACCAATTCGAGGGAAGCTGGCCATTGCTGCCGGAGGGAATGGTGAGGGCTATAGCAAGGTTTCTTATAGCTGACTCCTGGGGACGACCCCAAAGGATCCGATTCTTGGATGCTGGGTGTATCTAGTAGATAGCGGCGACACTGTGGTTGCGACGCCAGCCAAAGTGCAGTTTTTTTGTTGGGGGCTTCTCTTAGTCTCTTGGAGATGAAATGTATTTCAATGATTTCGGAAAACTTCGGGCCAGAGGCTTCGCCGGCTCGACTGGTGCCACCACTGTTTACCTAAGGATTGTCGTTATCTAAATTGGAGCAACCATTCTTGTATTGGGCCCCGTTAGAACCATGGTTATGGCCTACTTAGTTGGTTGATCCAAGTTGTAATTCGTGGCTTTCAACCTGGGGTGTCGGACAAATCGGATCGGCGGCCCTTCTTCGGAGGCCTCGCCAAACTCCCACTTTGCCAGCATGCTGGCCGCCGAGCGGGGGGGCGAGGTCTTCTGAGTGAGATGGAAAGCTCCAGACTCGGAGACGGCTCAGCCCGATTTAAAGCTTCCAAGAAAGTTGACCCAACAAAAAGGAGGAGGTTTCCCAAAATGGACACTCGGTATTTTTCCCTGAGCCCAGGAGATGGACGATTATCGATTGCGCTTTGGAAAACCCGTTGTTTTGAGGGGGCCTTGCCTAGTTCGGGGTTGGGGAAGATGTTTTTTGGAGGGATGCAGTTGCGCAAAGGACGGAACGGGTGATTGAGCCGCATATTTTCAGGACTAGCAGGATGTGCAAGTTGGATGGGCTATTCAATAGATCTGCCAGAGACAGTGCGAGGTCGCTGGGGTAAACAAGGTTTACCTATGAAGGATGGGATGGAGGTTTCTGAGTTCAGGTTTTGGAATTCCGGCAGAAGCGCAAAACGTAGCGACCCAGCTGGCTTGGCAAAAGAATCCAGTAGCCTATGGTCCATGTGGGAGGAGGCATGACATGGAGGACTCCAAATTTCCCACAAAATCAGGCACTCCCATTTGCCAATGGGCAGTAATTAAGTTTTGACCTCGGCCTATTTTGAGCGTGTCTCAAAGTGGCGGACCCCCTTCTGTAGAGGGAAACAAGGAAAACCACGCATTTTGGGGGACCACTATTTGGGAACCCCAAGTAGTTGCAGATCGACCGGCCGTGGAACTCATCTCAGTTCTCGTCCAACTTGCACCCCTGATTTTTCCGCGAAAGAGTCGCGCCAAGGCCCTGACACCACGTACCAAGGGTCCTGACACCCCTCTGCAAATGAACGGAAGGAAGCCAACAATGTCCCCCAAGGAGCCAGGGGAGCTGGCCTCTTTGCCCATGTCCTCGGGAAGAGTTCTATTGTGCGGGTCATGTCTTCGGCTTTCCGACCTGGGGTACGTTTGCATATAGATAATATGTGTACACCTTCATTATGGGCCACTTAAGTTCCATCGGGAAAAGGGTCAACCGATTCCAAGGGTCGCGGTTCAAGAGCGACATAAGGCGTCATGCCCTTCCTTCTTGAGCATCGGGCAGGGACTTTTGAACCTCGTTGATAGGACGTCCAAGTAGGGCGGCTATCCCGGGATTGGCTCAGAGTGGATGCGCCAATGTTAAATAAGCCCTTACCCTTTCCCTAACAATGCAAGACGCCAACCGCTTGTAGGAGTTCGTTTGGGGAAACTTGTTGATTTATTATTTGGGCATGCCCAACACATAATTATACTGCTTCCTTTTGAGAAAGGAGTTCTGATGTTGGGATTTGTTCTATCTTGTCAAAATGAAATTCGTATTGGCTGGTGTTTGTTTGAGTCCTACATGAAAAGGGGAAGGAATTAACGACGCCTCAAAGATGTAGTAAAGGCGTGGAGGTCGATAGAATCTCGCGATCCCTTGATACCCTCATGGTACATGGCAAAGATATCCTCGCCGTTACGACGGCACAGGGCGCCAGTTACAAAGTACGCGGCGCGCAAGTCGCGCCGTGTGCGAAACCCCCCCCTCCGCTTCGCGGAAGTCCCAAAAGCACGCGGCCTGCGGCTTGGTTTGAATGATGCCCAATATGGGCTGGTCTTTGTTGGAACCTGAGACCAGATCTTTGAGAAGAAACATGTAGTTTCCGTTGATCCTGTTCAGATCTTTGTGGCAGCTAGTGGCTTGTCACGAAAGGAGATTGTGCTTGGGAAGTCCCACCCATCGCACCGAAGCTTTGCGCCCGGATGCCCCGTGCATTTCTCAAAGTCTCAAATGGACCCCAGTTCTATTTTGGTGGTTTCTAGGTCTGAGGTATCGATCAGGATAGTGGCAGTTCGTATTGGATTGGAGGTGCAATTCGTTGTAACAGCCCATTGGAAAGCAGAGAGGTGAGGACCACAAGCCCAGTCTTTTGGAGAGGCAGCTACGAGGGGGCGAGGGTGCCCTGTGTTCGCGTGGCCACTGGAAGTGCTAGTTCGCAGTGTTCCGAAAGGATTCTTTTTGTCAGACTAAACGCAATATCATGTTCCCATCGACTGGGGAAAGCATGGAGGGGGCTAACAGGTAGCTTGCTTTGCAGGGTCTAAGTCGGGTCGATTGCGGCGCATTTTGGACAGCCTGGTGAGTCAGCGAAATCCAACATCCGCATCTTTTTTCGGCTTCTTGGGCCCTCCTTGGGGGCTCCCAAAGTCAAAAGCCCCCCTCCCGCCTCGTCAAAAAGGCGATATATAATTGCACGGTGGGTAAATTTGGATCGAAGTTCCTCGATAGTTTGACATGCCGGCTTTTGGGATCAGTGGTGCACCACACCCAAAGGAACTGGCAACAAGGCCCATTGGCCCGTGGCTACGCGGACCACCTCCGTTTTTGTTTTTTGGGCGATAGGCTGGTACCATGTTTGGTAGCTCCCCGTTGAATCCCGCTAATCAAAACTGGTCTGCGGCTGGTCTCTTGGGAAAGCGAAACCGCTGGTCGGGCGCCAAATCATCCATATCTTTGCAATAAAAACACCCAAGGAGCCAATGCCAGATGCAGAGTGCTTGATTTGTCCAGACTCAGTATTTGAATGGAACCTCGCTTTCGACCCCCCGGCCATTCTGAGATGTGCCAGGTACGTCATCCCATATCACCCCTTTGCGGGCGAGCCTCACAAGAAGAGCGACTGAGCCAGCGCGCGGAAAGGCCGGTTGACTGCCGCTGGGTATTTCATCTTACGTCGTTGCCCCACTATGCTGGGTCTTAAATCCTAGGGTGTAATCTTGACCAAGTGAAGAGCAGACATTTCGAGGTGAATCTTTTCTGACCTCGGGGTCCGATTCCCGGGTAAAGCGAAGGATTCTTGGCCTCAAAAGGTGGGCTTCCAGAACCTTGCGGTTTGGGAGTTCGGGTAGTTCTCCCCGTTTTTTTGCCAACCAGTTTGAGCAAAAGGCCACGATCGGCCGAAAGGAAGCGGTAAGTAAGAGAGGACGGTCGGCTCGAGTCGGTGAAAGACTGGCTGACCGCTTAGTGCCGAGAAAGCCGCCCGGAGTTGCGCAGGTGGACACATGAACGCCGCCCGAAATCCCTGTTTTGGTAGATTCCGAGGGTTCTACTACCTGGTTTTCTTACGGTTATGGTATTGGTAGTCCCTATGATGCCCCATACAAATCTGAGGATGATCTCCCACTGAGCAACGTCTTACTTTGGGAGCAAAAGGTGATGCCAATGGGTGGCAGGCCAAGTGATGTGCACTTTTCAGGTTGGCTAGTGGCATGCTTGGACAAATTGCAGGCAACTCATCGAAGCTTGCCTTTGGGGATCCCATTCTTGTTTTCTGTTTGAGAATTGTACTAGGACCCTTCCTCTTTGAGAGGGCCCCTCAAATCAGCTTTACCACCACTAGAAGGAAGCAAGGTTTGTTTAAAGTATTTGACTTGATCGGAGAGGCGCAAGGACATTTGTTCTTTCGCTCATTTTGGCCTTGCTTTGGTTTCCGCATCTCTGGGGCTTCAGGCTTACTCGCAGGAGCCATGGTGCGGGGTTTCCGAAGGGCCAGAGCCGGCGAAATGCAGGTGGAATTCTGAGGATAGAAAGATGTGCGATCAGAGTCTGAGAAACAATGCAACAACCAGACCCTAGCTCCTTGAAGAGGAACCGAAAGGCAGTGGTTTCTTATAGACTTTTAGTCATGTTCAGAGGAACCTCCTTTCGGGAAATGGGTTTGCATGTTATTTTGCGGGGGAGTATATTTCACCTATGGCGGTTGCACATATTGTCAGCCAGACAAGGTTGCTGAAAGGAGGCATGTTGGCGCCATACACATCACATTTGCCAGCTGATCTACTAGATCCCCTGGTGAAGTGTGTGATTTTCGGATGTATCTTTCGATTGAACTGAAGCCAACAAAAATGTACTCGCACCTTTTGAGGAGCAGCTGATGGGTTGTGAGACAATAGCCGGTTTTGGTGGTGCGTCCAATCTTTAAGGTGCTTGGTCAGGTTTGTAGGTCGATTCAGTGCGTTTCCTTTTGGCAAACAACGTGAGCACAGCCGCAGTCCACCAGTGCACCATGGACGGTGGAGTTTGTTGTTGTGGTTTGAGCACTTCAACAGTTTGTTCAAATCGAGCAACAAGGGTTTCCTATGGAACGGACTATGCCCATCCGCAGCCACATCATGAATTCTCACCATGTTCCTCCCCCTCCACGTTCAGTGCCGGAATATTCGTGTATCAGGTCGAATATATTTTTAGGAGAGGCCGTAGGGTTCAGAAGCCAGCCACTTCGACCTGAACTCTGTCATAATGGTCATAGATCACTTCGGACTAATCCGGAGGAGCACTAACTAAAGGGAAGGACCCTCGACATTGATTAGAATTCAGTAAAAGGGGCAGCACTGTATCGTTTGGATCGAGGTTGGTATGAAGAAAATCACGCCGATCGTTGGCCAGGTGGGGCAACACACGGAGAATTGCGCCCCAAAACATCGCGGGATCCGCTGTGCTTGAAATCAGCGACCTTTAAACTTAAGGCTCTGACAGCCGTGTTCAGGTGTTTGCCTTTTCGGTTGTCCTTCCCTTTCCTTCTTAACCAGCAAGTGGCTAACTTGTGCAGACCATCGGCTAGTTTCCGAGTAGCTGAAAGCAAACCACGCCTAGAAGAAGTTTATTGGACCAAAGTACAACCATGCAAACAGAATTGGTTCATCCTTTTCTTTCAGTAGATCTGAGTCCAAGCCATCCGTTCTGAGAGAAAAAGAAGGGCAACGCCGGGATGTCATCGAAGGCACCTTTGCATCTCTCGCAGTCTGTGGCCCGAGACGTGCTTCCTAGCCTTCCAAACCGAACGCCTGGGGCCCGGCGCATTTCCTGAGCCGGCGGTATGAAAGTATGAAGATGTTGTTTTGAAAGTTCATACTGAAAGTTTTGAAAGTTTGTGTTTTGGTATTTTGTTTTGAAAGGTTTTGTTTTGACAGTTTTGAAAGTATTTCCGCCCAAGTATGGAAATTGTTGGTTATACTTTCATACCGCCCGGAAGGAAAGAGAAAGACTTTCATACCGCCCGCTCAAGTTGTTGTTGGTTACCACATTCCGCCCAAGCATGAAATACATGAAGTTGTTGGTTACCACATGGAATGTTTTGTTTTGTTGGTTACCACTACTTGGGCTCTCACATTCCAGCCAATTCCAACACACCGGAATCCACAGTTCCCATGAGCCAGTGTAGGTCATAAAGAACATGTGGTTTGCTGAGGGTGTTCTACTACCTGGCATGGGGGTTTATATATAGGGCCCACATACACCAGTGCTGTAGTGGATGGACGAAATCCTGCACCACCTAAGAAACCCTGGAATGATGATTCCCTGTAAGTACCAATAAACTATGGCTTCCCATGGTTTCCAAGTGGTGCGAAGGGATTTCGTTCATCCACTGTATGACC